GCCCGATTTTATGAGCGCCTGCTGCATTTTAATCGGTTAGTCGCCTGCCGTTGCCAGCCCCATCCTGAGGTGGACTGCGAAACGTTTTGAGGCTGGGCTTGCATCCTCAACCAGAAAAATTCGGGAAAATCGGGCTATTTTCGCGGCAACACCGCTTTTTTGGGCTATTTTTGCAGAGCTGATGAATCCCGGCGTATATTTGCTGAAGTGGGCACAGGCCTAAAATGGGGTTTAGTGAGTTTTTCGTGACCTTGAAATTTTGGAAATTTCCTTTTCAAGCCCAACGGTAAACGTCCCAGGAAAACTCGCTTAATTGCCCCGGCAACACTGCATTTTTTCGACATTTTTGAAAAATTTGGGAAATTTGGCGCTTTTTGGTTTAATTAGTAACCGAAATTAAACGAGTTTTGATGGTCTTTTCGGGGCTTGAAGTTTTTGAACTGTTTTTGACTACCTCCAACGGCCAAAATGCTGGAAAATTGCGTTTTTTGCACGGCAACACCGCAATATTTTGGGCGCGTTGTCTGCTTAATACCCAACGCAAGATATTTTCTTCACAATGTTGCAACCGGAAGTGGCCCGATGGGGGGGCTTTTGGTTAGGAAACTTTCCCAGATGCTCAGGGGGTGTTCTGGCGCAAATCCCAGGAAAACTCGCTTAATTGCCCCGGCAACACCGCATTTTTTCGACATTTTTGAAAAATTTGGGAAATTTGGCGCATTTTTGGTTTAATTAGTAACAGGAATTAAACAATTTTTGATGGTTTTTTCGGGGCTTGAATTTCTTGAACTGTTTTTAACTACCTCCAACAGGCAAAATGCTGGAAAATTGCGTTTTTTGCACGGCAACACCGCAATATTTTGGACGCATTGTCTGTTTATTACCCAAGGCAAGATATTTTGTTTACAAAGTCGCATCCGCAAGTGGCCGGATGTGGGGGCTTTTGGTGGGGAAACTTTCCCAGGTGCTCAGGGGGTGTTCTGGCGCGAATCCCAGGAAAACTCGCTTAATTGCCCCGGCAACACTGCACTTTTGCGACATTTTTGGAAAAATTGGGAAGTGTGACGCATTTTCGGTTTAATTAGTAACAGGAATTAAAGGAGATTTTGAGGGTTTTTTCGGGGCTTGAAATTTTTGAACTGTTTTTGACTACCGGCAACGGCTAAAATGCTGGAAAATTGCGTTTTTTGCACGGCAACACCGCAATATTTTGGGCGCGTTGTCCGTTTAATACCCAAGGCAAGATATTTTGTTCACAATGTTGCAACCGGAAGTGGCCCGATGGGGGGGCTTTTGGTGAGGAAACTT